ATGGTTTCTATACAAAAAAGATAAATAAGGGAGATAATTTTTGACTTCCGGTTTAAAAAAATGTCATTTCCGGTATTGTTTGATAGTTTACTTGACACTGATTCAAAAATATATAGTTCTATATACTTTTACATTAATTTAGTACAATAAATAGCTACTTCCGGTTTACAAAAGGTCACTTCCGGTTGGCTTTTTCAAGGTCAAATGGCTTGCAACCTAATGCAAAAAGTCCCATGGCTTTATCATGTATATATATGAGGTTAAAGCAAAGGTCAAAATAAAAAACGTCGAATCAACCTTTAACCTTGACCCCAATTTCAAGGTCATGAAACAAGGGCTTCAAATCAAAATACCCTAGGTCTCAATTATATATGATGAATGAGTTATATCACCATACGTGTAATTTTGAATATGATAAGGGAGAAAACTCCCATTAAATGTCTCTGTACCCTTTCAACTCAAATTTACGTGTTACGACATGTCGCAACTAACAATTCTGTAAAAAAAATTGTCGATATCTTATAAGATTTCTGAAAATTAGTGATAACAAGCCAAAATCGAAATTTTTAACATGACCTTGACCTTTGACCTTGACCTCATTTTCATTTTTATGGACCAAGGACTTCAAATCAAAGACCCTAGGCCTCTGTCACTTATGGTTTTCCAGTTACAAATACATTTCATATATATCAAATACAAAATGGGAAATAACTCTCATATGGAGTCTTCGTAAAGCTTCGGTCTAAATAAAACCTAACATCCTGAGTATATAACAAGCAATTTTGAAAAATAAATTTGTCGCTTTCTTTTACGGTTGCGGAGGAGATCTCATAACAAGAAAAACAGTGTTTGGGAAGATAACTCTTACAAAGAAAAGTGTTCGGTTAAACAGGGTCAGTTTCAAAAGCATATAGACTGTATGATATCATATACCAAAAAACTAATCGACATCTTTTGAAACAAAAATACACCGCAAGAAAAAAATAAGGCGGAAGAAAAAAAAAAAAAAAAAATAGAACGTCAAATTAAACTTTGACCTTGACCCCAATTTAAAGGTCATGAAACAAGGGCCTCAAATCAAAAGACCCTAGGTCTCAATTATATAAGATGAATGAGTTATATTACCATACATGTAATTTTGAATATAAAAGGGGAGAAAACTCCCATTAAAGGTCTCCGTACCCTTTCAACTCAAATTTACGTGTTACGACATGTCGCAACTAACAATTCTGTAAAAGTATTTTGTCGATATCTTATAAGATTTCTGAAAATTAGTGATAACAAGCCAAAATCCAAATTTTTAACATGACCTTGACCTTTGACCTTGACCTCATTTTCATTTTTATGGACCAAGGACCTCAAATCAAAAGACCCTAGGCCTCTATCACTTATGGTTTTCCAGTTACAAATAAATTTCACTTATATCAATACAAAAGGGGAAATAACTCTCATATGGAGTCTTCGTAAAGCTTCGGTCTAAATAAAACCTAACATCCTGAGAATATAACGAGCAATTTGGAAAAATAAATTTGTCACTTTCTATTACGGTTGCGGAGGAGATCTCATAACAAGAAAAACAGTGTTTGGGGAGATAACTCTTACAAAGAAAAGTGTTCGGTTAAACAGGGTCAGTTTCAAAAGCGTATAGACTGTATCATATCATATACCAAAAAACTAAGCGACATCTTTTGAAACAAAAATACACCGCAAGAAAAAAATTAGGCGGAAGAAAAAAAAAATAATCAGAAGAAAACCAATAGGTCTTTCCACGGAAAGGTGGAAAGACCTAATTATTAGACAATTTTATTGTGAACTAAAATAAAATATCGTTTTACGTTTAAATCATTTACAAAATAAAGAACCAGATATCAATAATGATCTGGTACACTTATAAGATCACATATGTAATAATTAGGTCAAGTGTGTACTTTTACTTTTTTAAGTTAACGTATCGATACATTCAATTAGACAAAAAAGGTGATTTTGTTTACCTTCTTAATACATTTCCATTGTTTATCAACAGAAATAGAGCAATGTATATAACCTGATTAAAACTTACCTTGTTGTAGACAGGTATCACTGTTTATGGATCTGGTGTGATCAATTTAATGCATTATGTTGGGTGTGTTTGACTTGGTTTTAATTTGATACAAGAAAACTACAATATGTAATTTTATAAGTAAAGTGGACATTTATCTCGCCTGTTTTCTCTGTAACACAGGGACCCTAATTATGCTCTCCTGGGCTACTAAGGTAATTGTAACAGGACATTGGAAATAAATTGTATTTGAATTTAAAAAAAGGAAAAAATAGTTATATGCTCCAGAATATAAATAATAGAATGGTCCATTTAGGTCTATAAATAATGAACCGGAACAGTCTTGTAATAAAAACATTATGGCGATGATAAAAATCTAATTTCGGAATTAATTTTTAAGATCACATAATGTCATGGTCATAGAGAAAATGTTTAATTAGATTTCAATTTTCACTATGAACTTTACATTGTTCATGACATGAAACATCGTTAACATGATAAAGGTGCGTTTGGTTCCCTCAAATTTGAATCTTATGAGCATAGACTTTTCTGCAAATTTAAATAATATCTAGATACCAAAACGTTTGACTTTAAGTAAAACAAAATATGCAAATTCTACTCATAAAAACAACAACAACCTTCGTCGTCTCATCAGGTACCACTTGTCTCATATCGCTAAATTTTTAAAGGCTTACCTTGTCAATCTTATATCAATATCCATGCTGTTGAGTTATTATTTTCATTTCACATTGATTATTGCATCAGTTTGTAGTTTTGAAATAACTGGGTGATTTCCTGTACTTCTAACATAAAGCGGGACAAAAGTCGTATGTCTAGTTAACATATACTCAAAATATGCTTGCATTAATACGCAAAGCTTCAAAAACACACATTCTTGTAAATTGGACTGTTCTATGTTCCTAACAATTGGAAAATGAATTTAAATATAAAAGATAGCAAACTTAATTAACACTGACGAATTCGATGATTCCTATACATTTTTGCATGTCTTAAATCAAATAGTTTTGGTCTGAAACTATATGTATCTTTGTAGTTATTTTTTTTTTTATTTTTAAGTATATCATTCTCACTTTTGTTTAATTAACTTGATAAGTTTCAATTTTCACTAGGACCATGATATAGTTTTTTTTTTTTATTAGAATAGTTAAATCTATAAATCTGAAAATACCATGTTTTAGTGGATTGTTTGTAAAATACCCAACATGACATTTTCTAATTTTGGAAATTACAATATGAAAGTTAATCACCAGATTATGTAAGCATTGTTTGTTTTGTTAGCAGTTCATATTCATTGATTAAAATTCTTCCTTCCTTCCTACAAGAAAGTTTGGGGATTTGATTTAAATTGATGACGGAGCTCCAAGATATACATAATTTTGGCATACAGAAGAATTTCCAGGTATATATATTTTTTATCCTTATAAGGACCACTGCACGGGAATGAACAGTTTGTATTTGGTGAATAAAATATATTGAATTAAAGGTGTATTAGCGGCTTATAAACTAGTTTTATCAAGAAGGTTTGATAAATCATCTTTTTTTTTGCTTAAACGAAACAATTCCAAACTTGTTTAAAAGAAACTGGTCCTATATTTGTTTCCTGGTTCCTAAACTTATTTAACCTCCTATCGTTGTTTATGCGATTTAAAAACCAAACTGTTGATTTGTGTCACTACTGGTAAATCTAAACCGGTTTTATGTCTGTTCTTTTTTAATTATTGGTTAATTTGTGCTTCGTATCGATGTATTGAGATAAGCCATTTTCAAATGAATTTTACAGTTTGTTCTTATGTTATGATATAACACCACTGTCTCAAGTAAGATTGAGCACTCACAAATATGTTTAACTCCGTCACATTCTGTATGTGCCTGTCCCACGTCAAGTGTCAAGAGTTGTAATTCGTTGGCTTGCATTGCTTTATGTCTGTCATATTTGCAATTTTATATATTGTTTTGTATAAATTTGTCCATTAGTTTTCTCGTTTAAATTGTTTCAAATTTTTGATGTCAAAGGCTTTTTAGGCTGACTATACCGTATTAGTTGTTCTCATTGTTGAAGGTCGTACGATGATTGGTTTATTCTTCGTCATTTGAACTCTGCTGAATAGTTGTCTCATTGGTAATCATATCATATCTCCTTACTTTTATATTTACACAAAACAAACCGTCATAAACCGAAATCCTGAAATGAAGCTAGTTTGAATACAACAACGTCTTAATATCTGAAGAAATGGCAATAGTTATAGATTTATGTACAGCAAAACATTTTTCTGTAATGTTAATCTGCTTTCAATCTTCATTTCACGTTTTTCGAAAAAAAAAAACCTAAATTTCAGCTTAATACTTCTAAACGTAAATGGAAACATAAGTACTAGACACTATCCTTTAAATCCTGAAATCAAGGAAAACAATGTTGCCAATAAGAATTAGAAAGCATTTTGGAATATGACGCGAAAAAAATCTTCCGATACAACTCTTTACAAACATATATGCATAAAAGTGTTAACAAAAATACCGAACTCCAAGGCAAATTCAAAAGGGGGAAGTCAATGTTTCCTGACAAAATCGAAATATAGACTATATCAACCAAGTGAACGAATGGACAATCCAATAAGCATCTTCACCGACATTTTAGTATTGATTTGCAATATCTTTTGTTACATAGATTTTATCTACAAGTAAACATCATTTATATATGTTTTAAGTTCCTTTAGTGTTATTTACAAACCTTTAAATGTAATAATAAATACACCTTTGCCAACTTCCTTATCAGCATATCATGCAATTGACGAAATGAAAAAAAAATAATGTTTGGATTTAATGACACTAACATATGTAAGTAAGCATTGTTTGATTTCTTTTACGGTCATATTCACAATTTCAAATACTTCCTTCTTCCTTTAAACATTGAAAGAAGTAAGTATCTTTTATAATCATTTTTTTTAATTGAAGCAATCAGTTGAGGGGGTCCTTCACGTGAAATGTCGCATTCATTGGATGTTTATTGTACAAGGTAGGTTTGTACTGCATTTTATATGAACATATTATTCTATTCAAAACGTTCTATAAATTGTATAATTGAAAGTCATTGCCTCGAGAATAATGTATGTAGTTTGTTATATAACCAATTTTTTTTATATGTTCATGTATCGTAGATAGGTAGCTATGTGTTTATAGCAGAGTTGACCTTCACATTTGGTCCTTTTTTCTTATTTTAGCTCTTAAAGGTTAATTTTCAAATACGTTTTTCTGATCAGCCACATGATTTCCAGAACATACTAAAAACCATTAAAGTTAGTGAATAATTGATTAATCAAATAATTAACTTGTGATTATAAAACAACTATATTTTCTTAGCATGCGGTATAAATAATGATGTACAAAAAATGAGTAAACATAAATGAGATGTTTACTGAAACTGCTGGAATGCTTCATTGTAATGAAATAAGAATATCCTTCTAATGTCAAATATGCATAACTTAGTCAAAACATTGTGATTGTTATTACATAGACAATGCAACACATGCAGTAGATTATAAAACCAATTATACGTCTTTATGTTCAAAATTTGTCGAAAGATTAACCCGGATTTTACATTAAAGGTTCATCAGCATCTAGAGTAGATTGCCTAGACATACTCGACCATTACCTTTACATGTAAACATCATTTCCGGAATATATACGTCATGGAATCAATTGTTTGCGACAGTTACCGGATTTTGACAACGGAAGTAGCACAAGGATTATCTACAGGTAAATGCATTGCACCAGAACACGTACGTACATAGCTATGTTGGCTTTACTCGTTTCATTCAATGTGTTGTTATAAAACAAACAATTGATGTCTTGTTTTTTATTTTTATATTTTTATGCTAAAGTTTTGTGATATAAAACATTATTATTCAAATTTGAAACGGTCGACTAATAGATTAACTGTATTTTTAACAAGTTTGTTGTTAGAAATGAATTATGTTGTTTTATATTACTAAACAATGACTCTTTATTTTTAATCTATGCACGTTCATTTTATTACTATGATGGAATATAATCAAATTCCACGAAGTTTCGATAAAGGAAAAGATAATTTTGTACTCGCATAACATCATACTTAATAGAGTATCCTGCCCTACTATCCCTTTTCATATTGAAACTTGAAAGTGCAACAGCTCATAACTAGAAAAGGTACATTTTTATCGATATTTCAATGTATTGAATCAAACAGAAGATAATGAATACCGTTGATTTTGAAATTATTACTTCGTGCAATCATATATCGTCCAATGCACTTCCAAATAGCTTGTAGGAAACAAAATAAATGAACATAAATGAAAATGCAATGGATTGAAAGTGCTGACCTAAACGTTTTCAGACAAAATGCTTGAAATTTCAATTTATTTTCAAAATTCTATGTGCAGGTATATGTTTGTCTTTTTATATCATCAACCGGTAAAAAAAATGCTACCAACACTATAAAGCATAGTTGCTTATTTCACTGCATTCCTTTTTCTTCCCGACATTTAATATATACTTTTCTTCAATGAGTTTTTAAATTATCTAAATTTCATAGTTATATTTTTTTTTGTTCCTTTGTTTTATTGTTATTGTTGTTGTTTTATATTGAAGGATGGGGTTGAAAGGGTTGATGGTGTAATGGTTTGAAAAGTCAACTGAATAAATATATGCCATTCTCATAATTCCTGCATGGTCCTTTGCCAAAAAAGTACATCACTTCAAAGATGTGTTCCAAAAACAAGTCCAGATCACTTACTGGAAACAAATAGAAATCAAATTTAGAAGACATAACGTCATAGGATCATTACAAGATGTTATGTTCATGATTGGAAACTTCTTTATTGTGAACATTAACAAAACTCAGGAGGAAAGACTATTGCATGTGTGAAATTGGTATAGCGCATAAACATACTAGTATTCAGAATTGCATGCAACGTTTGATATAATAAAATGATTAGTAGACATGATCAGGTTTGCGTCCGATCTGAGTTTTTGTTACTTGTTTTTCTTCTTTGCATCGATCTGATGAGAAAAGGCCTTTTAAATGATTTTTATAGTTTGTTCATATGTTGAACAGTTACACCACTGTCCCAGGTTAGGTGCATTGGTTGGGCACCGCTAACCCGTTTAACCTATCCACATTCTGTATCAGTGCCTGTCCCAAGTCAAGAACTGAAATTCAGTGGTTGTCGGTTTGTTGCTGTATATCATATTTGTATTTCTTCAAATATTTTTGTTTTCATAAATCAAGCCGTTAGACTGAATTGTTTTATATTTGTCATATCGGGGCCTTTTATAGCTGACTGAGCGGTATGGGGATTGCTCATTGTTAAAGGCCGTACGGTGACCTATTGTTGTTAACTTCTATGTCATTTGGTCTTTGGTAGAGAGTTTTCTCATTTGCAATTATACCACATGTTCTTATTTTTATATAAGGCCAGGTAAACCTTTATGATATCACTATTATTTGAATCTTGAGCCTTATTTAAGAGTATAAAATTTAATTTGTTTATAGGAATATTACTGAAAAAAAGAGGTGAAAGATACAAAAACGGACATACGAACTCATCAACCGAAAACGACGAGAATACAAACAACTTATAGTTGATAACTAAATTGAATTTGGCTTCAAGCATTCATATTTGAAATGAATAGTCTCAATTTATAATTAAAATTCTTTGAAATATAGCGTCATGACACGCTTTGCTTCCGATTATTGGATTAGACCTCGAACATAGCAATACATTCGTAAAAATAAAGAAACTGAGGATAACCATATAGGTGTTGCTGTCTTATTGATGAAACAATACATTCATAGGTGCAAGTGAATCTGTTTTCGCATTGGTAATGCCATACATTTTTTTTTATATTGATAGATGATATCACGATCGTTAAATTTTTAATAAGAGATGATGTTGGAAAGGGTGTTCTGGAAAAAATTGTTTCAGGAACAGATCTTCTACAACTATTGGAAGAAAGATGTATGTTGTCAGCTGAAAACGTTGAACAACTGGCTAAATATTTGCAGATTGCAGGACGAAACGATCTCGATAAAAAGGTTCAGCTATATGCAAAATCTGCCATTTCAAGAAATCTGTCAAATCATGGTGAGTTTAAAGATTATCTGATCTTGTTGATTTTTCGAGTATTTATATTTTTAATTTAGTAAGTCCATTTAAAATAATATTACATTTCTTATATCCAAAAAAATGGAGATAAGGCAATTTTGATCTTTTTAATTTACGAATTCACGTAATTTACGAGGACACCATCTAAAACTACATCTTTAAACTTAATTAGACATACTCATAATTGGTCTCTTCATCAGAAATGCTAATTCTAAACATTCTTCCCACCTTCAAATCTTTTGCTTTTTAATTGTGCTAAAATCGATTTTTGAATATAATTATAAATAAATAATTCTAGACTACTACGGGCTGTGTGGAATGCATGTAACTGAGCATTATATAGAAACAACAGAATACCAATTATTATGTCAACATATGTCAAGAAACAATGCAGTTATTTTGAAAGGTATGTCATTCAAATTATGTACATTTGAAATATTTAAATGATATCTGAAATATTAATTCAACTGGAAAACATCAGAATCGAGGAGTGGAATAGATAAGCTCGGTACAACCCTGGAATATTTTATTATTTTTTTCAGGTGTCTTTAATATCGAAAAATACCATTATTTTCTCAATCAACAAAAGTATATAAATTTTGAACTGACATAACGCATTTTATCCGAACCGATTAAAATGGCTTGTCAACAAGTAACAAATAAATCAGTATAATCAATATGAACGTCGTTGTTTTAATTTATTATTTAATGTTAATGTACTTGTTTGCAGTTAAAGTCAGAGTTCTTGTATTTTAATTCTGAATTGCCTTAATGAGTGACTGAGAAAATAATAAAGATATATCATCCCGAAAATTCGTATTTTTGTAATACATTTATAATGTCTCCACACAAACATCAAACGTTAATCTAAGCTCGTATATCGGAAATAAATTGCATTTGAAATACTGAAGACAAAACTAGTGGGTATCCAAACACATAATATTTTCACGAGATACGCGGCATTTCTTTCTCAATTGATACCACCCAGATAGAATCATTATAACAATTTTGAATAATAACCTACTAAATTGTATATCAGAATTGCAAATAATGCCAATAAAAACAAAAACCAGTGCAAGCAGCAGTAACAACTTTAATGACCAGATTCGCATTTCGACAATTTTAGTCTCTTCAGTGATGCTAGAGACTAAAATATACGAATATCTTAAACCTAGTTCAATCATTGCAGTGAATCTAAAACTTAAAAAAGGACTAAGAATAGCAGAATTCGGACAAGAAATCAAAGCGTTGCATAAGGGTCATTACTAAATTGAAAATTAATTTCGATGTTTTATTGCATTAAATTTTAATCAGACAATTTCCGTATTTTTACCAGTACTGAATTACTGGATACTGGGTTGATGATACCAACGGATCTAAAATAGTCTACCAGCAGAGTTATCGATCGTGGGGTAATAATGGCATGTACAATACGAATTTTACTACAGCAGATAGACTATCAACATTTCATATGTAAAGGGAATGGACGCCATCTTATTAACAATTGGCATCACCTCAAAAGATTGCCGATCGACGTTTCATTCTGTATTAAATATGATAATCAATATAAATACACAAGTTTGCGCATGAAATAGTATTATATCATTAAAAAAAACATGATATAAATCATATGAACCAGTCACGAAACCTACTGACATATTTGATTACTCTTTTATATCGATATTCTTCTTGATAACCAAATATTCTGAGCTCATCCGCAATCAATCTCCAACCGAGGTCTAAAAACGTTAGTATGGACCATCTCTAAATGAGGCAAAATTATAAGTAAATAATACAATAGTTAAGTGTTTTTTTGTTATTATGTTAGTTTGACGAAATAGAACCAATGTGACTGCTAGCAAATAGGTTTGTGTTTAATAATATGTTCTTGTAAATGTTTGAAGCCGAAAACATACGTTAATTCTTATCTTTTGATATGTTATTGAAGTCATATCTAATGTCTGTTAATGATTTTTTTAACCGAAGGGCTATTTTGAACTGAACAATAAATAAGATATGTATGTTCAGTTTCAGTAAACTTTTAGATTATCCACTGTAGTTAATTAAGTGTTGTTAATTAGGATCTTTGCAGTCCTGTTTTAAAATAATATTCACCATTGCAACAATATAAAAGGGACTGAACAGTAGGGACTGAGTTAATTGCATGAACATTGTCGGTTAAGTTTTAAATATAACTCTATGCAATGTCTAAGAAACTAAAAAAAGTAGACAATACATTTATATGTTCAGACATTTCAGATGAAAATATTTATTGCCGACAGACGACTCATTTCCGACTGTTTGTGACCATCAAAATATAATTGGAACTTACATAACAGACAAAGATACCTTATATTTCTGCCTCAATTTTGTTTTAAAGAATTAAAAAACTTGAAAGAATATAGTACAAGTTTTAAACTAAAAATCTTTTACAAATGCATCATAAAATAGGTGCAAATACCAATGTAAAGGCTATCTATACAATTTTGTTTCCGTTTTTGTTTACATGACTTGAAGTATCATAGGATTTGAATATAAAAGCGTTAATTTTTTTATAATATGACATTATCAACTAGGTTGATAAATTTAGAGATGTCCTTATAACGACGAAGTTTACCGAAGTATCGATATTAGTATCATCCTGATCATTTTAAACAATAGTGTGGTGAATTGTTGCAAAGTGTTCTTAAGAGACTTTTAAGGCACTGGATAATTGAGTACTACGAGTACTACATTTGGAGCAGGATCTGCTTACCCTTCCGGAACACATAAGATCACCCCTGATTGTTGCTCAGTTTTGTTGTTTTCTATGTTGTGTTTTATGTTCTGCTGTTTGGTTTTCGGTTTTGCAGTGGCATTGTCAGTTGTTTTCGACTTGTGAGTTTGATTATCCCTTTGGTATCTATCACGGATCTTTCAACATGTACTCTTTGTAGACTTACTGATAATTTTCAGGTCCACCTGGAACATGGAAGTCGCAGCATGCATTCAACTATGCACACAGTTGTTCAAAAAGGATAAAGAATGCCCATAATTCATTGATTTGGCGGATAGATTGCAATACTGAATTAAATATTTATAATTCTCTTTCTCATTTAATGAACTACCTAAAGATACAATACATTAACTCAGATTTGCGCATTAAACAGTCAATTCACATCATGTTATTGCGCGCTATAGAGGTTTTGGAAAGCGACGATTACCAGGACACAAAGCACATTTTTATTCTGCTTGGTTTAATATCCCCTCAGAAAAATCTAATGAATGAGTTCTTGAGGCAATTGAAACAGAATGATAACATATTTGTTATTGTAACTACAAGTGAGTCGTTATCACCCGATTTCGATAATATGGTAATCGAATTGCACGGAATGACAGAAATGGAGGCTGTAAAATATCTAAACGTTGATGATTCATTGGATGAGAAGGCAAAAGAACTGGCAAAGAGATTGGGCTATTTGCCAGATGGCCTTGCTTTTGCAAGAACTCATATCCACACAACAGGTATAAGCATAGACAGTTATTTTGAAAGATTACGTGAAAACAGAACCAGCATTAGTGATTCTGCATCTAAAAAAGCTTGTCAAATGCTTATTTCGCAAGCAGAAAAGAATATGTCAACCGAAGAAAAAACTATGTTTCACCTCATGCCATATCTGAACACAGATAATATACCTATCCTAATTTTTGAAAGTCTTTTGCCCAACATATTAAACAAAGACAAAAAGACATTAATAATGGACAGCTTCCTCCGAACCTTAGAAAAATACTCCCTGGTTGTTATCAAAGGTACAAATGAGCAACGAATAGTAACTGCTCATGGATTTATTTTCATGATATTGGAAGCCTCTAAGTCCTCCGACAAACGAAATTCTCATCTCAAGAAACTTCTGAACTTTTTTATGTGTCATATTGATCTAGATGCAAGATTGTTGGAAGTTATTCATAGAAACGTTCTCTTATTAGAACATGCAGAGGCCTTCTTATTACATTTTGACGACAAGTTTAAGTCTTTGTTTAACGAAACAAAAGCAAAACTTTGCTATATATATTGTGCAGTAGGAATCACTTATAGACTGTATGGAAATACTGAGTTATCTGCTTATACTTATCTAGAAAAGGCAAAACGTACAATGTATGAAGCATTCTTAAGTGGTCAGCAACATCAGCTATCCAAAATCAAGGATGCCGATCCTTATACCACTATGAATGATTATCTAAATGGAAGCGGGATACTTCAAGAGCACTGTAAATTCATCTTCAACATTTTGATTGAAAAAGGAAAAAAGCTCCCTCGAGAATTCGTAGACACTTTCATCGAAAACAAATATAGAAATGCAAGAATCATAGATCTTTTAAGAAATTATGGCCATTTTTCTACCAACGATTTGCGCAACAACAAATTAACGACAAAGATAGTAAGCACACTAAGAAGTAAGAACTTGATCATGGAGAGTAAATATACATCAGAAACATTTCTAGTCGAACTGATGATAAGGATTCTTTACAATTCTAGTAAGAACAAATGGCTTATGGAAATTTCAAAAGACAGCTTCTCAAAACCGGAAACAGGCTATGTGCGTCATAGACTTTCCAGCACTTTCTTCCCTGTTACTTCAGAAAGCTTAATGGAACATCAGCTAGCACACGGTCTTACAAAGTTATTGCAGCATCATTTGAGCTCTTTACCGATGCAGCACAATAAAACGACACCCACAAAAAATGTCGTGAGATCCTTTTGTCCTGTGTTCAGTCCAGTAACACATCGCAGTGGTGTATTATACATGTTGAGATCATTTTCAGACCCTACTCTATTATCATCTTTACTTAAAGAATCTATAGATTTATTGGCCAGCCTTGATTATAATATTGACGGAATAGGTTTCACTGAGTTTGGTGTCGTAAAACGCATTGGTGATTCAAGTCTTTTTCATTCCGTAATGATAGAAAGAATTAAAATGGAATGTTATGAAAAACGATATAAAATAGAATGTCTAAATGTAGACACATCTTTAAAGGAAGATACAAAGAAGAGAATAATCGTCGAAGAGACTAGCACATTAACAGAAGAAAGTATTGAACAAAGTAAAAGCTTGTGCGAAACTGATTTATCAAACATAAAAGGGTCAATAAAAGGTGAAAATTTAAAGAAGCAAAATAGATCAGACAATGAAATTGCTCTTCAAAATCCAAACTTAAAGAAAGCATTGTCAATTGCAGAGGAGCTAGAAAAGAACATTGACGACCTGACATCGTGGAAAGCTTTATCAGGAATCCATTTGAAAATTGCTAAAGTGTTTAAACTAACAAAAACAGAGGAGAACATTCGGAAAGCGAAACACCATTATAGAAAGGCCTACGACCGAGAATATGAAAGCAATAACACAAGAATTACCCGTTTTCATTTAAAGGCAATCATTCATTTTGCTGAATGTTGTATTCAGTTTCCGAATGAGAAAGACTTGCATAAGGCGAAGGAACTGTCGGAGGAAATGCAGCATCGATTTCGATTGGTAGAAACTGGTACTCTTTTTGACGAGGTGATAGAAGATATTGATAGCTGTTTGGTGAGTTTAAGATTCCATTTTCAGCTCAATACTTTGACCCAGTACGTAAGCACATTTAACGATTAGTATGACGTACATATGTTATAAATTTCAAGCATAGTAAAGTGGTAATATGAGGCAGGTGTTACCTGTAAAAAGGAACGAAGTCATCAAACCTTTATAATTCTTTACAATAACCCGTTAACAGCAGACTTGTGTATACAAACAAAAAATGTTATGTATAGAAAAATCCAAGTAGAATGTGTGGTGAAAAAAGAACTGATTACGGAAACGTATCCGATGTTGGTCCTATTGTTATTAATTTTATATATGGAATTATTTTCAATGTAAACAAGAAGGTAGCGTTATTTTCTGGTTTTAAAGTATGATTTAAATAAAAAACATAATAATTTATACCAAAAAACAACGATTATACAAAGTCGGCTTAATGCTGATCTGTAGTACATACACAAAAATCTGCCTGATTGATCTGAGGTGAGTTTTCCCGAAGAAACTCATCTTGTTTGCTACAAAATCGTATGTTGAGTGAGCACTAGAATCATTTTATTACGCACACAAACAGAATACATTCTAAATCGGCGGGTGTAAGAAATCTGTGTATCGCATAATTGTAACTTTTGATGATTTTTGTGACCGTGTAGAAGAGCATTGGTAATACTTTATGTTTAGTCCACTCAGTCAATAAAAAAAGACAAGTATGCGTATCAGATCAGTTCTTTAATTAAGTTGAATACGATATATACGATACGATTCTCTTCAAATACATAAATTATAAATCATAAATAAGAGTGAAACTAAATTTCGCTAATCATAAAGATTATATACAGTGCATTAATTATTTCTCAGTCTTAATACAAAATGAAGACATATGTTTTCTAATAAAGTACAAAGTTTGCACAAATGATTAAATCAATATATTTTCTTTACGGAACAATATTACAATTCTTGCTGAAGAAATGAATGCTAAAGTCGGAATTAAACATATGCTTACCGATTATGCTCTCTTATAAAAATCATCTTGTGTGTCCAAATACAATCTCAATAATAAACTGCCGTAAACAAATTGAAATAACATCATCATAGGAAAACTTAACGTCATTAAGACGGGCGGAAAAGACGGCAAATATTTTAAGTGCCGTAAACGTTAATAATCATATAAATATATAGCATTAACAAACAGATTACCTATAAATTAAATAGTGGCAGCCAAGTGACAATGTATGCACTATTAGTGTTTATATAAATGTATCTTCTACCAAATATAAAAAAAAAAATATATATATTAGATATAATTCTTACTCTTTATTATTTAATACCTATTATTTTTTATAATAAAAGGCGCCAATTGATTATATTTTGATAACAGTCAAAAGTTTGTCAATGTTACCAGTTAGATGTATGAACATATCACACACGGACATGCTAAGCTGTTTTAATTGTATGTAACGAAATATCGAATATTACTAAATAAATATATAACATGTGATCTGACGATAAACAAACTAGACTCCTTAAAAAAAGTAAATGTACATCTTTATTTACTTTTTCAATTTGAAAAAAAGTTAAAATACACGTAGTATTGTAATTTGCGTATGAAAAGCTGGTATTGCTACTGATACAGGCATTGTTTGGGTTTTGTACTGTTCTGTTTAGGCTCTTCGATTTATGTGCTCTCCAACGTTTACCCTAAAAAATTAACTGAAATATAATTCAGCTAGTTATAACTATAAGCTTTTGGTACATTGAGATGGTAACGAAATCTGTTAAGTAAGTTATACTGATATTATAATCTGCAGATATGTACAGTCAACAATGAACATGAGCTTTAGAAAGCTCCTTCAACCGACTATAGCGAAGTTGTCTCGTTAAAAATTATAACACATTTAATATTTTTAATGAAAAACCATGGGTTTGCGTAGTCTCGGTGAAACGCTTTTTTGAATTTTTTGACGACTTTGCTGACTTCATATCAAAGCTAACTGATCATTATTTTTACTGAATATTGAACCTCATATCATCAAAAGGGAAATGTTTATAAAAATAACAAGCTATGTCTTTACAAAATGCTTATTATAGCGTTTTTGTTTAGAAGTAACCGTTGAATATTAAAAAAAGCATTTCACTGGCAATTTTACGTAATCTTTATATAATTATATATTTATTCCACGCATTTTAACTGAAAGTATCTGAGGTATAAATGATATTGACATGGCGTTTATCGATTTCTAATTGCTGTAATCTTGCATTTATCTGCAATAATAAAGACACGCGAATAATCTGAATTTATAGTACCTTGATTTAATAATTACTTTTAATTTATAACGCGGTGTTTTCATTTTTTACAATTGTTGAATTATTTCTATTTCACAGAAGAAACTCTCTGAGAAAAGGCAATCAGATGATACCTCTACAACAAAAGAAAAACCAGAATTTGATACCAAATCAATCAATGAGTATGTATACGCATTTGTTTGAAATGTCATACTAAGAGCAATTTAGACTTTTAAAAAAATAATACTATGAGGCCTCAGTAAGGTCTCGATGACTCCGATGAAACGTTGATTTTATTTTTTATTTCACTTCTTTAAGTATATATAACCTTAAGACGTGTATCTGCTCTAACATTACTGCAATGCTGGATGTACATGTATTACGTATGACTTTGACTTTTTGATTATTTTTAATAGAATATTAAGAAATGTCTGTACATAAAATATTGTCAAGACCAACATGTCGTACATATGCACATTTGTTGATACGTTGCTAGTCTGTGTATCAAAGATTGGAATAAATGTCCAAATAATTTCAGTGGAGATCCAAGAAAGGATTTTGGGTCTGATTGATGGATAGAATTAAATCGCATGTTTTATCATAACAATTGAACGAAGTAAAAGTAGTAGCAAGTACTTGAATATATTTTATACAGAAAAGAAAATTTTGTCAGCTCATTTCTTTGAAGAACTTCGATTTTCATTACTTAACATAAAGCAGTTGTTATCAAATAGTCCGTTTCTGTGTATGTTGACGTTGGTTTATCTAGCAGTTCAGTGTTTCTGTTGTTCCGTTGTTTTCCTCTTATAGTTGATGTGTTTCACTCGGTTTTGGTTTGTGACCCGGATTTGTTTCAGTTAAACCGATTTATGACTTTTGGACAGCGGTTTACTACTATTGCCTTCTTTTATCGGGAAATAGATAAAGTACTTAATTGATAAATGACTGTTATAAGTCTATTCATTGTACCAAAACAACACACATACATATAATTTACATGTAACCACGTGTGATGTTATCGAAAATTGATAAAAAATGTTATCTTATTGCATATAACTGTACCGAAAATAACATCATTATAGAACCTTAATTTAAGCGTTAAAATAAGAAATACAATGTGTAATAGAAGAAAGCACACAATCGACCAAACTTTTACTTAATGTATACTGAACATATTTCATTACACAGTACATTTGTATATTCGAAATACTAAGGATATTTACTCCAGATATAGATTGCCTTGGCTGTGTTTGGCAAAACTATAAGTCCTTTGTAGACGAGGCGGTCGTCTGGCGTACAGAATTTCAATCCTGGTATCTATGATGAGTTGGATTGTCTCCTGTTTATCAAAAAGAAGTATGCAAAATTCATCAGGAAGTAGTTATTTACCTAGCCGACAATGGTAGCCTTTTGTGGTTTTGCAATTTCACTATAAAAACAACTCGTTGAAAACACTTTCAGATTCTGAATTATCAATACATTTGGTTGTGAACGAAATTACAAAACACATATGGTGCCTCAGCCTTTTTATAGAAAAATGACAATTTGTAAGGGTACTATATGGTGCCGCAATTTTTGAAATAGTATCAATGAAGAACAACCCTTGCTTAATTTTGCACAGAAACGTTTGCTCATCACATAGAGTTTCCTCCAAAGGTCTCGCTATTTCTACGCCAATAGCCGACATCATTCATTCTCACTAGTTCAAGTTTTTTTCAAATTATCAAATAGGGCAGTAGAAAATAAATTTATTATCTTTGATGTAAAAACTTGGTGGCGCCTGTCATTTTTTTTGCTTCTTTTAACTTTTCTTTTAAGAGCGCATTTAAATAATGTCACGTCGGTGAATTCAATGAAAGTTCAGAATGTTAAAAAAATTTATTGTTGGGTTATTAAGTTCCAGTAAATTTGCATGCAGTTGTATTATATGCACATAGTGATGTTAACTGATAGTGTATTTGTGTTACAGTGATGATAAGAAATGGTTGTTGAAAGAATTAAAACGAAAAAGAGAACGGCTCAAAAATTATCAGAGTACACTTCGTGAGGATTACAACCAATTGAAAGCCGACATAGAGAGGCTTGATTTGGAAATAGAATTTGTGGAAAAGAAGATAGCTGACATCGAAATTCAATAACGGAAGTTCGGGGTAAAGAAATCGAACTGCAAATTTTGATATATTTGACATCTTTTTTCTTCTTTTGCATGTGTTTTGTCTTAATGTTTTGTAAATGCAAGATATGACGGTACAGAAAACAAGAACTGTCGACAAAAATATAGAAGAACGCATTTCAAGAAAAATACAGGAAACCCTTGAGTTGGGTTGCAAATGACCAACTTAGCTCCTTTATGACAGCCCTCAAATCCAAATTGGTTAGAAATCTTTTTCAATCTAACTATCAATAGAAAAATGTTTTATTTTGCATAATAAATCAAGACAAAAAATATTTTAGTTTGGTAATTGTTATCATATATTTACTATTTATAGTTAATATGGTAAAAAAAGCATGGAATGAAATTTTAAATTTAGATGAGAATTAATGGTATATGGAAAGTAATTTTCGAATTGTCTTTTACAGTCACAACAAATACCAAATACAGTGGTTACAATATAGAATAAACCAGCATATTTTAAGTACGAACACATTTTGAATAAAATGAATGTTATTGACAATCCGAACAGTACTTTATAAAAAACTTTCTGTTCATGGATTGATACAAAATTATTTAAGGAATGCTGTTCATTTGATTTATCTGCAAATAAAACAATCTATTTTTCAACTGCAAATATTTGTAAAAAAGCTTTACCATTGAAAGCAGTGCAAAATAAAATAAAGTCTCTATACAGCATTGGAATAACTAAATGCTGTTAAAAATAAAAGAATAGATATTTTCGACAAGAGTGCCATTTTGTCCCAGGTAAGAGTTGTCTTATGGACACTCTTCCTACATCTTTTTTATAACTACCTGTAACGTCTATGTTATATAGGCACCTACGTTCAAATATTGTTTTATATTGTGTCATTGATCAAACTTATTCGTTCAGTGTATGTTTACTTGTTTTTGTTTAAATGTCTTTTTGATGGAGTTAAGCCATTTCAATTGATATTTTATAGTGTAAAATAAAATTGAGAATGGAAATGGGGAATGTGTCAAAGAGACAACAACCCGACCATAGAGCAGACAACAGCCGAAGGCCACCAATGGGTCTTCAATGCAGCGAGAAACTCCCGCACCCGGAGGCGTCCTTCAGCTGGCCCCTTAACAAATATGTATACTAGTTCAGTGATAATGGACGTCATACTAAACTCCAAATTATACACAAGAAACTAAAATTAAAAATGATACAAGACTGACAAAGGCCAGAGGCTCCTGACTTGGGACAGGCGCAAAAAATGCGGTGGGGTTAAACATGATTTTGAGATCCCAACCCTCCCCCTATACCTCTAGCCAATGTAGAAAAAACAAACGTACAACAGTACGCACAGTAAAACTCAGTTTAAAAGAAGTCCGAGTCCGATGTCAGAATAGGAAACAAAAGAAAATAAACAAAATGACAATAATACATAAATAACAACAGACTACTAGCAGTTACTGACATGCCAACTCCAGACCTCAATTAAACTGATTGAAAGATTATGTCTTCATCATATGAATATCAGGCACAATCCCTCCTGTTAGGGGTTTAGTATTATACCATCATAAAATATATGAGAAGAACATAACCCGTGTCATGCCAACAACTGGTTTTAGAATAAATATGTTTAATTCCGATGCAAAGACCCTATAAGTGAATCAATATTAAAGCCAAAATATGCAATCTTTAATGACCTGACAACAGTATCGTAATTATATCCCTTCTTAATAAGTCTGTTTAAAGGTTTTGTTAGCTTTTGAGGTGAATACTGACATTTTTGTGCTTTGTAAAGAATATTACCATAAAAGATTGGATGTGAAATACCCGAACGTATAAGATGTCTGCATGTTGAGTTATATTTACGAATGATGTCCTTATACCGATGATAAAATTTAGTAAATGTTTTGACTAGTTTATGATATCGAAAACCCTGGTGTAATAATTTTTCAGTAATACATATATTTCTCTCGCTAAAATCTAATACGTTGTTACATACACGAGCGAATCGTACAAGTTGAGATATATAAACACCATAAGATGGTGACAAGGGAACGTCACCATCTAAAAATGCATAATTAACGGTAGGAAATGAAAAATCATCTCTTTTATCTAAATTTTTGTATTAAGCTTCCCGTTAATGATATAGATATCAAGATCGAGGAAAGGACAGTGATCATTGTTAGTATTAGCTTTATTTAAAGTAAGTTCAACAGGATAAATTTCTTTAGTATACATACTGAAGTCGTCATTATTGAGAGCCAATATATCATCCAAATATCTAAAAGTATTGTTAATTTTTTGTATCAGATGTTGTTTCGATGGGTCTTTGCTGATTTTAGTCATAAATTGTAACTCATAACAATACAAAAACAGGTCCGCAATAAGTGGTGCACAGTTAGTCCCCATTGGAATTCCGATAACTTGACGATATACGGAATCTCCAAAGCGAACAAAAATGTTATCAAGTAAAAATTCAAGGGCAGATATAGTATCAAAGCATGTCCAATTGACATAGCTCTTTTGTTTGTTGCTACTAAAAAATGACCTAAAAGAGTTTGAACATATGTATTCGCATTCCGACTTTTTAAATGCCCATTTAATTAGGTGTGTGAATTTTTTTTTAATAAGAATATGAGGCAAAGTGGTATATAGGGTAGAAAAATCAAAACTTTGAACAGATTCAAAATCACCAATATATGCATGCAATTTATCAAGTACTTCCAACGAGTTTTTGACACTCCAAAAGTAGTTAATTCCACTATTTTCAAAGGCCTTATTTGAACAATTTATTATCAGGTTTTTGATTGTACCAAGTGTACTAGTAAGTAGAACAGACAATTTAGTAGTGGAACAATGACTTGAAGACGAAATAAATCTATATTTGTAAGGTGATTTGTGTAGCTTCGGAAGCTAGTACATAGTTGGGACTTTCATTGTATTTGGTTCTGCTTGTAAAGAAGTAGCTAATAGTTTATGTTTGTTACAGATATCGTTTTCTGAAAATGAAGTCAGTTCGAATATTGGTGAATTCGTGATTTCCTTTTGCAGAACCTCAATGTAAAATTTACGTCAAACTATAATGATATTATTATCAGCTTTATCAGCCGGTACAAAAACAAATTCCTTGGCTACTTCTTTTAGTTTATGTTTGATACGAGAAATAGGATTTTTATGGTTGTTGTTAAGAGTGAAATGTTCTTTAAAATGTTGTATACGTATATCAACTATCTTCATTACTGAATTAAAAAAAGAGTCCAAAGATTTTTTGTCAGCTTTTTCCCGTTTTATCCATTTCAAACAGTAAGCACGAAGTGAGTCGTGGATGATATTAGGACACTCATTCCAGTTAATAATTGACGGGGGACGATATTTAGGTCCTTTACTGAGGAATGATTTTAACTCTCGGTCGCGAACGATGTTAAGGTCTCCTGTTATAACATGGGAAATGGGGCCATAAGTGTATTCGGAATTACTACAATTACATGACGTAGGTGTATTTTCACTGATATTTACATCTTTACAGACTTGGCTATAATTAAACACAAATTTTCGGGTAGATTGCTTGTAAATATAACAAATAAGAGGGAGTTCAGTATTATCAAAATATCCAGGAATTTGTTCTTTAACAGAATGGTCGTTAAAAATACCGGCAATATTTACAAAATCAAAACCTTTATTGAAATACTTTATTTTAATAAAATGTTTTTTATGATCTTCAGGGCGATCAATTTTGGGAAACAGTTTAGAATAACAATATGCCATTAATAATTTGAACGATTTCATACTTAGGACTGCAATATGAAATTGTGTTGCAATCCTCTAAAATTTTATTTAATTTATTTATAGGTAAAGAACAGAGCTTGTTTAATAGATAATGTCTGCCGTTGTTTTTTGAAATAGAAATTAGGTCCGAAATATTTGTATAGTTGGTCCGAAATTTTCTTTGATTGCGATTTTTTCTACGCCCATGAGAATGGTTTTTACGAACAGTTTTAGAAACTATATCCAAAATGTTAACTGAATCGGTGTTTGATATATTACCAATTCCCATGATATTATCATTAAGACCGAGAGGGTAGACTGTCTGTAATTTTTTAATATGTGTCTTTTTATATTGTAATGCTACACTACTGTCTCAGGTTAGGGTTGCTGCCTGTTAAAACGTTTAAACCCGCTGCATTTTTCTGCACATGTCCTTAGTCAGGAACATGTTGTTCAGTGGTTGTCGTTCGTTGATGTGGTTCAGAAATGTTTCTTTTTTCTCGTTTTTAATATAGATTAGACCGTTGGTTTTCCTGTTTCCATAGTTTTACACTAGTTATTTTTGGGGACCTTTATAGCTTGCTGTTCGGTATGAGACAAGGCTCCGTGTTGAAGGCCGTATTTTGGCCTATAATGGTTTATTTTTTACAAATTGTGACTTGGAGGTAGAGTTGTTTCATTTGCACTCATACCACATCTTCTTATATCTACTAGTATATAATACCTTAAAACGAAATGTTAAAGTAAAGAAACATCCATGCAATGATTCGCACGTTGAGTACATTGTTCATTTATCATCGTCCATATTCGAAAAAGACGTTCCTGAAATATATCATATAAATAGGTTAATCGTCTAAATCTAGTTGAGTAAAGTATTGACTACGCAGAAAAAGTGAAAATGTGTTCCAAACTATTGGAAATTTGAATGTATTTTTTCAGTCAAATATTGTCTAGTAAAAATTCGTAACCATGGGAGTAAGCATTATTTATGTCCTATAGAATGCAGAGCGGTTCCTGATCCCAAATAATAGATGTTGTTATTAATCATTAATCAAGTATTTTATTCACATTTCGGAAAACATTAACGACTTTAAGAAAATGGTGCTAAATTCAGGTGTAGTGTCGCCCCTATTTTCTTCAAATGAAACATTTTTCTTTTTATGTTATATTCAGATTAAAGATGAAAAATACTTCTTTAGTATGCAGATTTGCGTGCAAATTTTTCTTACGAAGTTAGAAGAAGTACTGTTTATTTGAATATTTTATCTGATGATGATAAGTTTTCATATCGTTTAAAAACTACTGATTGTTATGATATGGTTGCCAAGACCTGCTTAAATATTTTAAGTAGAAGAAAGCGTTTTTATATGTACATTTTGTTTGTTGTTGTTGGTTTTGGTAGGCGCATTAAAAATATAGTTATATGTTTTACAGAACTAAAATGTGTTATAGACATGATAGATATATAGTTAACTATAATTCATTGGAATTTCTATAGTCTCTCATAATTCTTTATGGGATGGTACTTTTATTGTAACTTATTCAAATTTCTGTTGTATACAATAAATATATAGTATGATAATTGTGTTATATGTATTTTATGTGGTGAGACTTTAACATATATTCAATCTGAACCTGACTCTTCTGAATTTCTTGTTTACATTTGTTAACAATAACACAAAACCAGCAAGATATCTGAAAATAGCTTTTGGAGAAATTTAATTCAATTTACGGAAAGATTATTATCAACAAAAGTGTCCTTCTTTTGAAACGATGACTTGATTTTTTCTTAAGATCATAATTAAATATTTTTTTTCAATTATTGGCTTGTTACAATATCATTCAGGAGTCCAAGCTCCTCCTGATGTTCCCTGTTACATTC